CTCCAAAAATATAGTTGACTAGCAATGTACCCGTGCATTGCAACGGATCCAAAATAGAATAGTACTTGTCAACAACTTACCTCACAGACGTTAGTTGCAGATCTAATGATCAGAAATGACGGATGGCAGACACACCATCATCACCAACTGGGTCTTTTATAGGAGTAGAGATTCAAACCGACCGTTAGATTCTCAATCCTATGGATGCTTATTTTCTTCAACCTTCAGCCAACAGCAGCGCCCTCGATACCCAACCTCCACCACCGCTCATCCTATCGTCGCCCCACCCATACTCTCCGGCACCGAAACCGCCCACCCCCAACTATAACCCCCCACAACACAAACCTCTGGCTTCGGCTCTGCTCAGTGGCGTCAGTCTCCACATTGAAGGAACATGAATCACAAACAAATTGCACGGTCTACAAATCGAAGAAGACAACTTTAAAAATAAGAAATCGATGAAGACTTCATGAATTTGCAGTCGCCTAACTTTTAGCACAACCGGGAAAAAAGACTATAGGTTGGGTGGTTGAAAGTTGAAAGGTCAAAAGTAGAGCCGAACAAAGCATCCACTAGATCGGAGTGATAAGATGTGCACGGGTGCTTTTGGACCGACCAAGGCCCTCCCAGCTACGCACACCTGATGTGGCCTTGATTTAAGTCGATAGCAAAAGTTTATCCCAAATCAGCATCATCTGATTGCTACCGGTACGGCGGATAGAATACACCTTTTTTTGTCCGTGGTGAGGTAACTTCTATTGGCAGAAAAAATAATAACTTGGATGAATATAAAGGCATATCCTCTTCCAGGTTGTCCGGCACTAGTAACTTCAACGAGTTTCTATTTGGAGAATCAAGACATTTTTATCCGCCTTGTTCACATTCCAGAGCTGTGCAAAGCAGAATGACAGATTATTCCAGAACTGTTTCTTGCTAAAAATGACTGATTATTCTAAGCTAGCTGTGCACCAGACAAAAGAACTGCAGCTCTGCAGTGATTTTCAGATTCCATGGAACAAACTGGGAGTTTCTTTTCTTCTGCAAGCCCAGGAGCAAAGCATGGTGGAGCATATATGTTTAGGCACACTTGATACAGTTGTACTACAAAGGCTTTCACACAGCGAACCTACTGGAAATGTTCGACGTTCTCCAGAAAAAGCGGAAACTATTCAGTTCGAATCTAATGAATGACAGAGCTTCCACAAAACTTAGCTGTAAGCGAACCCATTTACATCAGCAACAGTTCTTAGCATCCACCCCAGATTGATGAGCTGAGGAATGACTCTTCCGCTTCATGAAATTCCAGATTTGTATTGTATTGTATAAAATCCATGACATAGCTTGCTCGTTTGGCATCTCTCGAGTCCATGTTGTAAAGTGCTTTCCTTAGACATATCAATGATGAGGACAGCAGGGGGTAAGCGTTGCCTATAATAAAAATGAAGACAGTCAGCACCCAGTTTCCAGATTCATATTTATATTTACATTATAAGGGACAAAAACGGTCTGTATCGCTGGTGACCCCAAAACATACATGTTGCAATGCATGTTTAATGATTTTGTGATAATGCCACATGCGCACAACCTTTAAATACTGGTTGGTTCAAGACAAACCAATGAGCTCATGGATTGGCGACGTGAGCAATCCATATCTTGGAATCTAATCAGCAGCTAGAACAACACGTATTTCTTACTTTGTGCAGTTTGTAACATAGTAATTCTTTTAAATTTCTCACAAATTTGCGATTCCAATGTATCTATGACATATATATTCGTATGGTCTTTCTAATGTAATGAAAGGCCCCACCTATAGAAGCACAATATCTTCAAAGAAAAGAAACTGTACCTCCTGAACAAATCTGTCACGATATGATTTTTTTTGCTATTTACAAAGTATACATAAGTAATAGATGACACTAAAATACATGAAAGTTGAGAAAGTCATGTGTAAGACGTGAGATGCCCACAACATGGTATGGTCGATGACTCAAACACAATTCTCAAAACTAGTGTGAAAGTGTGCTTCAAATCTGAAACTGCAACTGTTGGAGGTTATTACGTACAAACAGGTGGTAAGGCGGACTTGTATGATACAAACTTTAGATTCTGGTAGACTAGATCAATCACTCAAACTACTATAAGTTACTCATATTCTTGAAAGACAAACTATACAGAATTATGACACATAAATATCCAACTTTTCTTACTTATAGAGCATGTATCTACCAGTGTACACTGACAAAACCTTATGGTTGGAGCATTAAGAAGAATGTAACAAAGCAGTCTGTTAACTTGATAATCCAAACACACGGTGTGAACAGAACGCTTGAAAGCGAGGACTCAATAACTTACTTTGCAAAATTGAAACACTCAGTTTATAAATGGTAACCCCGAGTGCACTTTCCGTGCATATTCTTCATATTGAGAGCCAAAAAATTGCCTCAAGAAAAATTCTTCATATCTGCTCTTGAGTGAAGGGATCACAATAAAAACTGTAGAAGAAGCACACAAAATAATATACTTAACTCTTATATGAAATATTCACATTAATTGGGCACATTCTGAAAATGGGGAGCCTAGGATATAGAGGTAGAAATACGGTTCTTTTAGAAGGATACGGTATCCGCCTTGCAAAGAAACGCCACAACACCAATGTAAATACAACTGTAGATACTGGATTGCACAGCATAACCTGCGTTCCAACTGCCCATAGAAGAAAGCCTGAATACCCAGGATGCCGCATAAATCTGTACAATTAAGAACATACTTTAGCAGCTATAACCAATTATGCAGAACTATCACCATGTTTTTTATGTTGCAACGAAAAAAATGTTCAAGTTGGAGCACATGCAGAGGAAGGCAACAACAGTACTCAAGACTATAAATGTTGAATTGTGATGCAAGTACCTATAAATTCCATGAGTTACCAACTGATGCTGGTCTTCATACTGAATCCGTATAACATGTGTAAAGGCACGTCCAGCTGTTACAACAGCAATTTTACGAATAATTTCACCAACAAGCACCATCAGAAGGCCAATATTACTGACAAACAGATACCCTTTTATTTCTGGGAAGAAAAGGCTTTCTGTCAGGTGTTCCACCATCGCAAAACTCATTGCCAAAACATACTGCTTGCTGATAAGAAGTGCTGCATCAGAAGCACCTTAATTAGCTCACAACACGGTCACGCAGTTACATAGTGCAAATTACAATTAAATGGTAAAGAAAGAAGATAAATGAAATAAAGAAGCGGGCACCAATCTATGCATGGTAATGTTCTTTCAGGGGCTCTTTGGATTTGAGCCAACAGCTGCCAGCCAAAAAGTTGGCGTTGACTGCATGTTGGGCATATGTTTGGATGAGCACCAATTTTTTGGTCGCCAATGATGCATGGCCTTCCTCAGCTCACTTTTACACCAAACCTTGGGTGAGGCGCCGGTGAGCAAATAGCTAGCCAATTTTTTGGCGTGCCCATGATTTGGCTGGGCTAGTATGGGCAACATCCAAACAGCCGCTCATATTCTTTTTGACCATCTTATGTGTCAAATTGATAACCTACGATTATGAATTTTCTGATTGAGCTATTATCCAGTCAAATTGCCATGAGTTGGTTGCAGGATCCTATGGGTTTCAGATCTAGCCTCCCCCCACTTGTTTGGGACTAAAGACTTTCTTGGTGTTGTTGAACTAAAAGATTTTAGAGCCGGGGTTACGTGAACTAAAAAATGCAAGTTGGACAAATCAAGTTTGAATAACTATTTTAATCATCCCCAATTTGTACTATCTATGAAGATAAATACTTATGATGGCTTATGAAGCACTAAATTAGGAAATTAATTCATCAGGCATATTGGAATTTAATTGGTAAAATACTACTCTGTAGAGGCACTCAAATTACACTTTCTGATTTTGGAGCTTGACCTCAACCTTTATGTCAGCCCATTGGTTCTGAGAACCGAGCGGTGCTCGGTTGGCTAGAGCACACATCTGTAAGCTTACCCACCCGCGTTCGAGGCGCAGCCTCTGCAAGACGCCTTGTTTCTTCTAAAAGGCCGACATGGGAGCTAGTCTCCATGGGTCGAAAAAAAGATAATTGCTCCTTATCCCCTAAATTTAACACAGTATAGTACTCGGTAGCTTCTTTCTGTTGAATTCTTAAGCTAAACAGAGAAATTCTTACAATTGCATATAGATCGGACAGCAGAGTTATACCATGGTTATTTGTCAGTTAAATGCTAGGTGAGAAATTGCCGAGACCACGACACCGATTATTATGCAAATAGGGAAACTGCCAAAGCATGCATTCTGCCAATTCCTCTTAAGTCATCTCAACTATCTAAACAAAATCAAACCAAACCAATAGCAATCCAGTTGGATCAGACGAAACGACACATATTGGCATCCTCATGGCCCCATATATGTGCTTCACATTACCACATGTTAACCAGGGCGCTTTAATCTAAGCATATATACAAGAATCATGTGCATCGGTAGCACCTTCTCTACTCTCTACCAGTAGTAGTATCTAGACAATCTCCCGAGCAACGTCTCTGGATGGCAAAGATGGGGGCCGAAGAGGCGATTCACTCACAGGTGGCGGTGACGTTGCTGTGGCCGTGGAAGGCGGCGGCGAGGACGTACTCGGAGCCGTGGAAGAAGACCAAGGCGGCCGCGAACTGCCACGCCTGCGTCCGCGCCGCCATGGGCAGAGCGGGGATCTGGGGACCGGAGCTTGCGCTGGGGCTCAGGGCTTGGGCAGCGGGAGCGGGAAGAGATGCTTGGCGTTGGCGAGGTGCTGGGAGGAGGAGATGCCGCATGCGGAAGCTTTTACTGGGGACCTGGACGGGGACCGGAAAAGCTCGGGGCGGCCACGGCGGGCGAGGCGGAGCTGTCGGGCCGCCGGGATGGATAGAGAAAGGGGGGGACTCCTTTTCCCCGACCCACGCGGTGGAAAGCAAGGTACGCACGGGACTTTTGGCCGGCCCATGTGGGGGCGGGGTGCCCCTGTTTTTATTTCCTTTCGTTTTTTCCTGCTTTTTTTTTTGCTTCGTTAAAAAATGTTCGGGATTTCAAACAAAAATCTAATCTCAAAATCTTCACGAATTTTAAAAATGTTCTCAAATTCAAAAATATTCGTGAGTTTGATGAATATGCTCATGGATTTTAAAATGTTTGTAAATTCAAAAAATGTTCATGCTTTTGAAAATAACTAGGACAAGTGCCCGTGCGTTGCACTGGGCGATAAAATTAATAGAACCTTCTCAATGTGCTATTCCGCAACACTTCACATATCCAATTTTAACGAACAATAAGGTAACCTGAGTATCATTTTCCCTCGATGAAGTGTGAATGTGAAGAAACCTCCCTGACATCGTTCATCAGAATAGTCTTTCACTCTTTTTTTGTTGTTCAGAATAACACGAATTTTTAAAAAAATGTGGTTTTTGCAATTTTCGAGAACATTATTTGAAAATTTTAAATCATTTTTTGATGACTAGCATGTTTGATTTTGAAAATTATATTTCATTTGTAATTGTTTTTTACTCTATTTGGGCTTGCCCGAAACATAAGGACTTGGCCTACATAACACACACGATCTCAGAAAAAGAATACACCTTCTTTCTGGTGAGACCACAACTGCACGCATTGTCTCTCTTCCGATTCCGACACATACTACAGAATCAGGAGCGTCTTTTTCATGGTTACTACTTGCTTGCATCAATTCAAATTGCTACTTGCTGCAAGCTGGATTCACAAAGGAGCATTACTCTCTCGACAGTACTGCTGAGTTCAATTTGTCACCAGTGAAATAGTATTGTTGAGTTCTCAGAGTGTAGGGCTCAGGATTTAGATTGAAATAAAATGAGAATTGGGAACTAATTTATCAAACAACAACTCGGGGTAATTTCCTCAAATACTTCTGACTCGTTCACTGTTAGGGGTGAGATGATCCAAAACGCATGTCAAATACTATGTGCTCGTGATACAGTGAACTACCAAAAACTTCATAAAGCACCTGGGAAATTAATTAATAGTACAGACTACTTTTAAATTAGGACATGAGTAAGATGTAAACATTGTGCCTCCAAAAATTATATGTATCAAAGATCTGCACTAATTCATCCACTCTTGCAAGCACTCATGAGTACTCACCTAGCATGCCTAGTTAGCTACAAGCATCTACATGATCACCAACTATACAAATATGAGTTTGGAATTTTGGGCTACTTGGTAGTGTAGTGTGTGCTAACCAAATACATAATTAAGATGATATGCTGGAATACTCTGTTCTGGTCACCAATCTACATCACTGTCAGGTAGTGCATGTTCTGTCCACCAATGTACAATATACTATTAGGCATGTAGATCAACCGCATGCATGTATGCGAAAAATGCATCTATGGAGGTTACATGCATGTCATGAGTAGTTATATCTGAACTCGTTTCTTTCCCTTAGGAAAAATTTAAGTTATATATTAAATCCAAAGCATTCGCAATTTTTTTGTTAAATCCAAAGGGATAAACGGTAAGAAGCAAGTCTTGCAGAATTCTCGATTCCCTAGAAAAAACAACATACAACAATTGCTAATGTTACTGTCAGTCATACACATAAATGTATCTCTAATGCATAGCACTATAATTCAGGACCTTTAATTTTTTTTCCCGGAGCATATGTTGCTTGGTATGGATCTGGGTCTCTCTAGTAAGAAACATTGCTATCTCATCAAGGTTAATGAGTGCCAATAAATACGTCCAGAGAGATGAACGGTTGGTTGCCAAAGCAGCCAAAGCGAGTTGGGGAGGAAGAGAGGTTGAATACTGTAGGTCGCCAGAGGATTAGAAATCATGATTTCAAGCCTACTTGTCCACATACCTCAAGTGTAAAACCGGCCGACAAAGTTCCGGCAAACTGTGGAACACTGTCGGACACCGGATTGTTTTCCATCCAAGCCTGATGAGGCGACATTGGGCAGTCTTTCGACGAAGTAGGCAAAGAAGACATTGAACAGATTCTATCTGACGTCGTCTTGTTTTCCTGCGAAGTCAGTGAAGGTGACATTGGGCGATCTTCCGGCGAACTCGGAGGGCGGCGACATACTTGCAGTCTTGCGAATTTACCGTGCAATTTAGCTCGATTTTCAGTCGATCCTTTTTTTTATTGCATATATTCTTTGTGGAACCCGGATGGAGGCATCCATGGCTCCGTATTGGTGTAATTCTCCTACGCGGATCCGATCGAAAACAACACGACACATGAGAGAAGCCAGCGGCGGCGAGGCCGTATGCACGCCGTACGCCGTGGGTTCTGTCGTCTGTCCTCGACCGAGTGACGAAACGTCGTCAACGCAGTATGGGCTGGCAACTAAAATAGACATATGGGTCGGCCGTCCCAGTTTCCTTTGCGTCCTCGGCCCTTTGTTTCTCGTTTCCTGTGCACATACGTCATACGTTTTGTCAAACAGACTCTCAATCGAACCAAAAAAATAGTGTACCTATAAATCATCAAAACAGGACGAAACAAAGCAAAACCAAACTAAGAAGACCTATTCCCTTTAATAGTAGATATAGATTACTTTTGTACTGTGGGTTTATTTCCATAAAAGTCAAGAGGTTTTCTGTAAAAATGCCGCGACGGTGAACCCGACAGACTCAATCCATGCTTTATTATTAGGGAAAGATTCATGAATTTAAAAAAATTGAATTTGGAAAACATGCATGAATTCAAAAAACGTTCACGGGTTCTGAAAAAATGTTCACAGATTTAACAAAGTGTTCTCAAATTTGTAAAAATGTTTGCGAAATCGAAAATTGTTCATAATTTCAGAAACTATTCATGAATTTGTAAAAAAACTATGAATTCAACAAAATGTTCATGACTTCAAAAAATGTCCACGGATCTGTAAAAAATGTTCACAAAATGTAACGATCTTTTTAAATGTATGTGTTTTTTCTTTCACCTCGGGTTTTTTCTTCCGGTTTTTATAGTTGTATCTCTCGTGGAAGCAAAATTGTACCTTTGTGGAGGAAAAACAAACGCGTTTTTCCCTTCCTGAGTTGTGCTTCTCGCAAAAGAAGCATGTGCCTCCATGAAAATTTGTGCCTCTCACGAAAGAAAGAAAAAAACATGTTTTATCTCTCTTTCCGATAGGCAAATATGTGCCTCTCACGGTTCCCTTTCCGAGTGTGCCTCTCGCGGAAGTGATCCTGTGCCTTCACGAAAAGTAAATTTGTACCTCTCGCGTAAGAAAAAATCATTTTTTCATGCAAAAAAATTTGTGTTCAAAACCTAAGGAAAACCCGGGCAAAAAACAAAAGGTCATAAAAACAAAAAAAACATCAAAAACCCGAAAATGCGTATAGAAAAATAAAAGATCCAGAGAAAACGCCCAGTAGGCGACATGTGGCGGCGGCGCTCTCACCCCACCCAAGATGACCCTTGTGAGGCTCCCGCAAGGGAAACCCCGCGGTTAGTTGCTCTCCCTACGCGATGCCCAATCCTATTTGCCACTAGCGGTGACAAATAGTTATGGCTTTGCTGAAGCAAGCTTTCAGTTGGGCTGGCCCAAGTACGGATGCGTGATGTTTTCTTTAATTGTTGTCTCCTTCGATGTTTCCGTGTATTTTGTTTTTCTTATGTGGTTTTTGCTTCTGTTTTCTCCACTGTTTTGTTCGATTTCCAGTTGTTTCATTCCCTTTATTTGATTTTTGTATTTTTATTCCTTTTTTATTTTTATTTGTTTTGGTTCCTTTTTCCGATTTCTTTGCTATTTTTGTTTTGTTTTCAGTGTTTTCTTTGTATGGTGGAGTGTTGATCGACTAAAAGGCGACATGTTCAGCGGTTAGGTGTGGCGAAGATGCGAATGTTGAGATAGATGTGTGACCACATAAGGAGGGACCTATAGTCCGAAATAATGATATACGAGATAGAGTTGGGTAACACCGACTAAAGAGAAACTTGGCCAACATCGTCTCAGATGGTTTGGGCATATTCAACGCAGACCTCCAGAAACTCTAGTGCACAGGGAACGGCTAAAGCATGCTCATGATGTCAAAAGAGGCCGGGGTAAATCGAACTTGGCATGGGAAGAGTCCGTAAAGAGTGATCTAAAGGACTGGAGTATCACGAGAAAACTAGCCATGGACAGGGGGTATGATTCTAATATCGAGGCACATAGCCTCACTAAGCATACTTTAGGACTTTCTTTCGAACGCCATTTATGGCTCCTCGATACTCCGGACCTAAGTTGTATCTCAGTGTATTTGGACTACGATCAATAAATAAAGTGTGTCCAGACTAAAAAAGCTGGTTACAGCGCTGTATCATCTAATGCCATCGCCAATTTTGAAGAAAAAATATCGCTTGCCTGCCTATGGACTGCTATGTCAAAAACTAGGCGGTTTTCTTTTGTTATTTTTTTAAATGTTTGTGTATTTTTAAAAGGCGAGGATGTCAAAAAAGTTCATCTATTCAAAACCAATTGCAGATTTGAAAATGTTGGTGAATTCAATAAATGTTCATGGATATGAAAAAGAAACAGGATTAAAAAAAATCATTGATTTGAGTGTTCACAAATTTGGAAAATATCCGTTCATTCAAAAAATGTTCACAGATTTGGAAATTTTTCATGAGTTTAAAAAGTTCATGTTTTTAATAAATATTCAAAAAATTGTGGAAGAGTTTGCATAAAAATTCACGTATTTA